TTGCTTCTTTTATTTGCTTCAGGTTGAGTCCATATTAACTCTATTGGGTTCAATTTACAATAGTAAGGAGGAAGTCTAAGCACGGTATGCCCATTATTGCGAGTACAGTTATCAACAACATATACCTTCTGGTACTGTCTACTATAAACAACCTCCAACAATTGCTTTTTACTATATGATGCCTTAAAGTACAAATCTCTCTCAAATAAAATTTCTTGAATTTGTAATTTGTTTCAAGTAATATTTGGAATTTTTTCATTAATCTTGAGTTATATGATGCGTTGTCCATGATGATCACACTATATTTGGGTAATCTCGTAAGAAGAGATTCTTCACACCATGATTCAAAAATTAAACTTTTCATATCCTCATGATAATCTAAAGACGCCTCTTTACTTTTTTTTGCAGATATTAATAATACATCATCGATCCATCTATTTTCTCCACCGCAGTGGAGAATGAGTATCACACCAAGTCTCATCTAAATACACAAGCTTTTGTTTCATTTTTTGATACTCAGTTATCTATCTGATAGAAATGTCTCATTAAGAAATAATTATTCTAGTACTTTCCATTAGTGTTTGGCGCTTGTCTATAGTTTTTTACTTAAAATTATAGGTTTTAAGAAATCATCAAAGTGTTGTTGCTGAATATAAGAGAATATCCTTTCGAACCAGTTCACTTCGAAGGCTTTCAATAGTTGGAAAAATATTAGCCACATCCAATTTATATATTGTTCTGATTATATGTTCCTTTAGGTGCGGTTCTATTTGTGTGAATTTGCACAATCCTTTCTCATCTGTCTAGAAGAAGATATTGCTCTTATAGTCTTGTAGCAGGTTGCTGTAACATGTTTCTACAATTGTTTCTTATTTAGACAATTTAGAACACAATCCTTCATAAACATGTTTCAGCATATGTTTGAGATTATCAGAGAGATATTAAAAATATCGCTTACATTTTACTACACAGCTTTGTAAATATTCCAATTCATTAGAGGCTTCCACTGGCTTTTCAGCTGCAGAATTATTATCACACCACGGGTGCCACATTTTAAAAGTATCTTCGTAAAATTGTAAAGTTTACTGTTCTTTTACATATTTTTACGTACTTCCTTTCTTTGGGAGTTTAATAAAAACTAACTTCTGTTTTTTTTAAACATTGAACGTTTACATCTATGGTTCCTGAGTTGAACTTTTTTATACTTGAATCCTCCGTATCCTCATGATAATCTAGATTCACGTCTTTAAATTTTTTTGCCGATATTAATAATACATCGTCCATGCATCCATTTTCTACACTGCAGTGAAAAATTATAATTCTGTCCTTTATTGAGCGGTACTGAATTAGAACACTTTTTGTTATTATGCGTCCAACTTTTTTCACGGTGTCATGAGTACCATACCAGGTTCCATCCAAGTAAACAATATTTCGTTTAAAAATAAAGTTTAAAATAAAGTAAAATATTATACCTACCTACCCAATTGTAAACCACTGGACGGTCGAAACCAAACTTATTTGGATAAACTATTTCTTCTTCTAGTTCTATGACCGTTATCGATCGTTGGATATCATGTTGGCTACCATATTCGCTATCGTGACTTTATTGACAGCAGCTCTAAATGACGATGTAGTTGATTTTCCATACCATTGTCTTAGATTTTTCAGCCATAATGTTCTTTGTCTACCAGGACCACGATTACCTTGGATCTTGCCCTGAATGATCAGATGTAAAAGATCATATTTTTCAGGGCGTCTCATAATGTGACCGAAGTATTCCAGCTTGCGTTTCTTTATTATATTGACCAGTTATGTTGTTTAGCTCAGCCGTCTCATTTCTAACTCTGTCGACCCAGCTTATTTTCAGTAGTCATCTGTATACCCACATCTCAAAGGCTGTCAAGCGTTTAAGCATAGCCTTAGTTGGAGTCCACGCTTCCACTCCATACAGCAGGACAGGAAAGATGTAGCAAGAAGTCATACGAACTCTAAGGTCAATGCTAAGATCGTGACTGCAAAGTACGTTTCTCATTTTTACAAAGGCAGCTCGTGCTTGTTCTATTAGGCTTTTAATTTCTGCGGTTGGATCCCAGCTCTCATTGATATTACTGCCGAGATACACGAGTTTCTCTACTCTGTCCAGTATGGAATCTCCGACTTTTATACCGTCATCCTGTATATAATTTTGTTTGCTAACTATCATATATTTAGTTTTCTTAACGTTGAGTTTTAATCCATACTGATCACAAGTCTGTTTTATTTTGTTCATTAGATTTTGAAGGTCTTCTCCGCAATTGGCAAGGACTAAGGTATCGTTGGCATATCAAATATTGTTGACGGTTACTTCATTCACAATAAAAGGCTTCCTTAAATATTTCCTCCGAATATAAGTTAAAAAGTAAAGGCGACAATATACAGTCTTGCCTCACTCCTCTTTTTATATTTATTTTATCTGACAGTTCTTGTTCAACCTTTATTCTTGCCACTTGATGCCAGTATAGATTTGTAATTATTCGTAGATCTTTATCGTCCAATCCAGCTGTTTCCAATATTTCTAGCATTTTGTTATGTCGGACTTTGTCAAAAGCTTTTTCAAAATCGATTGCACAAATGTACACATTTTGATTTATATCTCTGCATCTCTGTACTAGCACCTGTATACTAAACAAGGCTTCTCTTGTGGATAAACTACTTTATGGTTTCGGTCGCTCAGGCATATATTGTTATCTTAGGCAAACAATGCATCGATGATAACTTTATCTGGGCGACTGTACATTTTTTCAAACGTAATACCAGGCACATCTGAATGTAAATATCGATGAGAATATTAAAACTTTATATTATAATACATCTCAGTCATTGATAATTTTGCAGTTAATAACTACTCCTGGTAGAGTACTTTTATTTTAATTTTTATTGCCTGCTTTTATTACAGATAAATATATTCTTACACAGTCTCACCAAAATACGAGGCGACTATACTGTCATTATATTTTATTTCTTTATTCCGTTTGGACTACCCGAAATTAAATTCACTACGAATTTTGACCAGGATAAACGGATTGTGGAATGCAATTTTAGATTTCCTTGCCGAATAATTTATCAAGCTGTTTGCTTTGCAAGTTTTAGAAAGCACAGTGGTTAAGATTTGAATTCGATTTCGCCAGGTAGAAATCGTATGATTTCTCTTTTTATTTTTGAAGTGTGTAAAAATTTGAATTCCTAGTTGAGTGCTTTTGGCTTGCAAAGCCATCCTTATGGCTATGGTCAAGGTTTAAAAGGCACCACTAGGTACTCATGATAGATCCCATCCGGTAAAAGTCCACAATTTTTCCTTTCTTTTTTTTATAAAAGGTAAAAAGTTACAAAAACTTCTTAAAAAACCGGAACATTGTACTTTTTACCCGACCATTTGGATGAAATTGAAGCTGTCTGCCACTTCAACTCAAACGAACTCGATCCCCAGATCTAATGTTATTAGATTTTTTCTTATGGTGTTATGTCAAAAGTATTGTATACAAAACATGACGTCGACATTGCGGACTTCTTCTTCATGTTCCTTGTCCGTTCCGAACGTTGGCAATCAACATGGCCATTCTGACTTTGCTTACGGCAGCTCTGAATAGTTCAGCAGATGACAATCCGAACCATTGCCGCAAGTTTTGGAGTCACGAGTGTCTTCTCCTCCCTGGACCTCTTCTGCTGTCTATTTTTTCTTGAACGATCAGCTGTAGTACTCTCTATTTATTATGTCTCATAACGTGACGCAAGTATTCCAACTTTCTTTTCTTTATACTAATTCCTACCCCGTTCTATTTACCTATCCGGCGTAGTACCTCTTCGTTGGTCACGTGCTCAGTCCAGGATATACGTAATATACGTCGGTAAGCCCACATTTCGAAGGCCTCTACTTTTTTCATCAATGTTGCGGTCATTGTCCACGCCTCCATTCCATATAACAAAACCTGGAATACATACCATTTCAGAAGTCGAATTTTGAGAGGTAGGGTGAGGCTTTTAGAGGTGAAAATTTGCTTCATGCTGGTGAACGTATGTCCTTCGCTTGATCCCAAATTGTGTTAACTGTTGTTTTCAAGTAGATGTACGAATCCACGTGTTCAATTCTTTCATTGTCTAATATCAGTTGCTGTGGTGGTTGTTGGGTTTTGCTTACAAATATCCATTTGGTTTTTGTGATATTTAGTCTGAGTCCGTATTATGCACTTGTTTTTTTATTTTACTCATTAGGCAACTCAGTTCCTCTATGCTACTTGCTAGAATCTCAGTGTCATCAGCATACCTTATGTTATTAATTATTTCTCCATTTCTTTTTATGACTTCTGTGCTTTCCTCCAGCGCTGTCTTAAATATTTCTTCTCAGTATATATCAAAGAGAATAGAAGACAAGATACAGCCCTGTCGTACCCCTTTCTTGATACCAATTTTATTGGTCAATGTAGATCCTACTTTCACTTTAGCTGTTTGACCCCAATACCTAAGGACTTAAGAAGACAAATTACTTAAATTTAAGATTAGGCCAAAACGTTCGTGGCGGTTATTTTGAACATTCCCTATAATGACATTAAGTTTCTTTTTTTTATTTTTTTAGATAACCAACACATAACCAGGATTACTTATTAATTTTTAAAAATGTTTTAGCAATTTTCTGTGATTAAATTATTTTCTTTTTTATGTAAATTTTTACAAAAAAAATTGTTAAAACATAATATTGCTTAAAAAGTTAAAAATCTAAATATTATGAAGAATCCAAAAATTGGATAATATAGAGAATTTTATATTAAAAATAAGCATCAGCCACTGGCACATAATCCATCCTGTATAGAAAGTTTTTTATTGAAAAAAAATGCGTAGTAAAAAATACGAATCGAAATGTCCAAGTGTTTTTTTTTTGATCATTTATTTGTAATCGAATTTATACCATTTGACTGACTCACCCCGTATAAATGTTTCATATTATAAAAATTTAATATTTTTTTCAGTTCATAGCTGCTAGTGACAAGCTGTGGTTCATGTTGGAAATGTACTCTTTCGTAGACTATTTTACGATTCCTCCATCATTTGTTTCGATCTATTTAGATCGTACATGGATAGGTAAGACCTTAAATATATATTTTTTTTATTTTGCTTATACTCTACATCAACAAAGCGAAAAAGAAAAATTTAATAATTTAGCGATGGGACCATACAACTTAAAATAAGAGCTACATAATTGTTTAACAGCCTCAAAAAGTTAATTTTACGTAGACTAAATTAAAAAATTATTTGAAGGTCACGTAATAATTTTGGGGAATATAATTCTAATACGAGATAGATAGCTTCAATGAGGTGGTTGCAGTGGCATTAGGTTTATTCCACTGCGATCTTTTTGGATCTTTTGTGGCCCTCTAATCCTAGATTACATTATCCAGCCTGACCCTTTTTAAAAGGTCTAATACCTTCAAAACTAAACCTTTCATGTAGATCTTTGCTGGTGTCTTTTCTTCGTCTAATGCAAAAAACTGTACATTTGACGGGTTATCTAGGACAGTGGTTCCCAACCTTTTTTCCTCGAGGACCACAAGATCTATAAGAAAACGTCTGCCGACCACATGATTTTATAACTAGGTAAATTAAATTGAGAACTAGAGAAATATATTTTAACTTCTTAATATACATTGTATTAAGAGTAAGTAATTAGAAAAAAAACATAGCTCTTAATATAGTTATAGAAACATTATAAATCTATTGTAAAACGCTTACAAAATATGACACTAAGTCTCTCAATGACTTCCTTGGTTTTGCATTTTACTGGCCAGATCTTCGATATTTGGCTTCAAAGAGGTCAAACTCAACCTGAATGGAGCATCCAATTTCAACAAACTGTTACAATGCTTATTCTTAATAACATTTAGTGTTGAAAATGCTGTTTCACAAAGATATGTAGAATTGAAAGGAAGTAGAATTTTCAAGGCTTTTTGGCTGAGGATTTGGTACTCATCAAGTAACTTGATCCGAAAGCTTGCAATATTGTCACAGTGTATTTTGACAACTTCAAGCTGAGGATCAGAAGATATCTCAATAAGTTCTTCCTATTCATTAAGTGTAAGATCAATATCCTTAAGTGGTAAAAAAGGATTTGCCACCCACAAGTTTTTAAAACTGACGTCAGAACTGGCAGAAAAATAGTTGTCAAAATACCCTTGAAGCGATGCTATGTAAGCCTTTACCAAAGATGACAGCTGTTCTTTATTTATATTCATACCTTCCGTTTCTATCATAAATTCAGAAAACAGATTAAATATAGCAAAAGATCCTTTCTCTACTTCAGTTTGCCATAACTTTAACTTTTGTTTGCATGCAGCAATTGTTTTCCACAGATCGAACACTGTGTGTGAGGGCCCTTGAAGACCAAGATTCAGCACATTTATAATTTCAAATATATCACTCAAAAAAGCAAGTTTAGCCACCCATTGTCCATCCCGAAACACAGCCGCTAGTTCTGGATTGTTTTTGTCAAGGAACATACAAACCTCCTCTCTAAGTTCATAAAATCTGACCAATACACGCCCTTGGGATAACCATCGTACTTCAGTGTGGAGGAGAAGTTTGGAATGAAGCGAGCCCATATCATCACAAAGCGTAGCAAACAATCTTGAATTAAGAGCTTTGCTCCGGATTAAATTCACAGCCTCTACAACTGTAAGGAGGACTTCATTGAGTTCAGGACTCAACTGTTTGGTTGCTAGCATTTCTTTGTGTATAATGCAGTGTGTTATTTGTACTTCGGTTCCCACATCTTTCAGTACAAAACTTTTAAGGCCTTGTTTGGAGCCTGTCATAGCAGCCGCGCCGTCTGTACACAATCCAACACAGTCTTTCCAAGATAGTTTATGCAACATTAAATACCCATCAACAGCATTAAAAATGTCCCGACCTTTTGTATGACCTGGCAGTTCAATAGATGTCATGTATTCTTCATTTAAATTCTTTTCTTCATGATCAATGTATTTTACATACACCAGTAAAATTGCTTTATTTGTAACATCGGGAGACTCATATAATTGCAAAAAAAACCACTTAGATTGGTGAAGCTTTATTATGAGTTTGTTTTCAACATCTGCTGCCATCGATTCAACTCTTCTAGTAACTGTATTATTTGATAGAGCTATGGTTTTCACTTTTTTAGCTGACTCTTTACCAAGTGCTTCTTAATGGCTTCAAAAATACAGGGTAAAATTAAATTTTCTCCTACTGTAAATGGTTTTTTTGCTTTTGCTATTTTCAATGAAATTAAAAAAAATGCTTTTAAAGCAGCCTTATCCTGAGAAGAATACTGTTTCATTACTTGTTTTGCATTTTTAAGCTGAGTTTCCTTGCGCTTGAAAAAATCCAATGGTTTTTGAACAAGTTCTTTGTGTTTTGCCTCAAAATGACGCATGAGTTTGGCCGGTTTCATAGCTTTATTGCATAAAACCTCTGAACATACAACACACTGAGGCAAATGAACATCTCCATCTTCCATCAAAAGTAAATCCATATTTTAAGTATTCTGGGCAGTACTTACCATTGGCTGGTTTTCCACTTTTAGGTTCACTTGAAACAAACCTGTCACTAACACTCGTACTAGCACTAGGTCCGGGTTCACTTTCAACATGTGCTCTTTTTAAAAACTTGCAGTCTCTCACTCTGTACATACGGTACGTGACACTAGACACTACGACAGACAAATGGCCATGGAACTCAGGTGAAGGTAGACAATGCTGGGCGATGGTGCGGCTACACAGCGGCGGAGGGGAATGACCGAGCTTGAGAGTGGTGGAAGCATGTGTCCGCCCGCCCCACAGTGACTATTAATAGCCTACCCCCTCCACGGCTAAAAGCCGTGAATTATAAGACGTACTCTCAAACAGCCCGCGGACCACACGTAAACTCGTCGCGGACCACAAGTGGTCCGCGGACCACGGGTTGAAAACCACTGATCTAGGAGCCCGAATCTGCAGCGAGCGAGCTAAAAATAGCTATATTTCAGTATAGTTACTTTTAAAAAGTATAGCTACTTTTAAAATGTGCAGCTTAAAGCTATCTGCAATTAACAACTTACATGAATACATAAAAACAACAATAAATATCTTATAAAAATACCAGAATAATAAATCACTCTGTATTGTCAAATTTTTTTAAAACAACTTTATTCAACACCAACTTGTTTAAAATACTTTAACGAAATAACAACTTTAAACTTCAAAACTCAAAATACTGCTGTTACAAACTGTCAAAACATCTGTTTATGTATATTTTCTGATGTTCCACACTTTAGTGGACATTTCAGGAATTTTCGATCTTGAACATCTTGAAAATATTTTTTTCTTTTAAATTTTCGATATACTTCTAGCCCAGTCTGGTTAAAGAAAAGGTCGAAAAAATTTCGCAGATATCTGAAGCTTTTAAGACATAGGTGGGGGTTCCTAGATGACGAATATTAAAAAAAGTACTCGTACCTTTACCTTGCGTTTTGTTTTAAATAATACTTTATGGTCACAATTTGATTTTTTGTCTATAAGTTTTCCCTTTTATTTTACATAAACAATATTTATATCATGTTTTTACATCAAAATATCTTTATTTTCCTGTTTTTTAGATTAAAATTGATAAATAATTTACGGAGATATGCAAAAAGCTGTTTTTTGCACTAATTTATGAATTTTAATAATGTTTTTATTAACAAAATAAAATGTTATAAATACATTTTGAACATCGAGAAATTACCGTCTTTTAAATTTGTGCGAAATTTCCCCCCAATCGGTAAAATAGTTTAAAAGTTATTTAATTTATTTACCTATCCATGAGACTAAATATTTAAACTATTGAAATTGCTCTATTAATAATGCTAGACACATTTAGCAAATTTCATTGGTTTAATATGTCTTAAAAGATTCAGATATGTGCGAAAAATTTTGCCGTGAAATTGATGATTTTTGCATAACCAGGCTGCGCTATTCAGGGATAAAAGTTCTTCTTCGAAGGGAGGCAATATTTTAAAATCTAGATCTTAAGTAAGCTTAATTTCTCTTCCAGAGATCATCAGTGATAGAGCGTAACCAGTTGATTCATATTCGGAACTTTTATGGGCTAACACTAATTAAATCCAACAATTATTAAAGTAATTTAAAAAAAGTAAAGTAATTAAATCCAACAAATATTAACAATAATTAAAGTATCCCAATCTTTTTCATTATATATTGAAGATTTTTATTAATTCTTACCATAATTCTGACCTAATCTAATAATTTAACGCAATTTTAGACCACTTTTAAAAGAAATCCATTGGGACCATTAAGTACTTAAAAAAATTATTTTAAAAATTCTTTTATAAAAGGTATGATTATATAAACTTCTATTAGGCTACATGACAAAACGTTTTCGAAATAACTATCTCATCATCAGTGATATCCTAAAATAAGTATAACCACTTTAATTAAAGCAAGCGTGAAAGTTAAATTTTTGACCAAGATTATTACAAAAATGTGGTTATTAGTTACTGGATATACATGTACGAAGCCACTAAATATAGATTGGTTATTAAATCCCAAGTGTGTTTTAAACTGATTTTCATTAGGAAGAGTTTCATTTTTAATGCTTCTCAATCTCAGAAGTTTCTTATTGTAATTATGTTTAATTAAAAATATTCTCTTTCAGGTCTACGTTTCCTACGAGCACTACGTTTAATGACTGTACCCGATATATTGCAGTACCTCAACATTTTAAAGACTTCTAGTTCTATACGGCTTGCTCAGTTAGTTTCCATATTCATATCTGTATGGCTCACTGCTGCAGGAATCATCCATTTAGTAAGTAAATCAATAGTTTTCTTAGTAAAAATGAATATTTAATGTAAAAATATAGAATTCCTGCAATATTCTATCTATAAAAGTTGTAGATGACAAGTTGCGTACGTTGTGCTTCTTGCAAGAATTAAAAAAAAGAAGAAGATTTGTATAATAGGGTAGAAAGAGTCTCTTAAAACTTAATACTATTGGTCAATTAACATTCAGTTTCCATCGTTTATGTGTGTTTTCTAAACATCTAAACGTGTTTAGATTTTAAGCATGATAAAATACGTAGGCGATCCGATAAGTACTTAGCCGTACCGCCAGGTGGCACTAGTATCTCAAGAAAAATCTACTATCGTGTAATACATTCTCGTAGAGAGCTAATGTCAAAATTTCAGCTGAATCGGACTTACACTTTTGTTTTGACCACGTGTGAAAGCGGGAGTGTCCGCGGATTTTAAAAACACGGAAAAGAGCAATATTGGTCAGTGATTAGATTTTTGCTTTGGCAAGGGAAATCGCGTAGTAAAATCAAAGATCGCTTAGATATTGTGTACGATGACTCTTTTCCTTTGATGGCAACCCTCAAAAATTAATTTAACGAGTTTCAACGTGGTTGCACGTCGGTTTTGATGAGCCACATCCAGGTGCCACGAAATCGGCTACCATCGTAACAAAACTCCACGATCTCATATTTACAGACCGCCGACTAAAAGTACGCGAAATAGCTAAGATATAAATATCTTAAAAGATCGAATATGTCATATCCTGCGTAAAATTTTGGGCATGATGAAGCTGCCGGCACGATGATTTCCGCGTTTGCTTACTCCGGACAAGCTTAACCGTGAGACCACAAACACACTAGAGTAGTGTTTGACGCTATTTAAGCATAATCCGAATGAGTTACTACGTCGTTTCGTTACCGTTGATTGAAGTACACACCAGGGAGAACGTGCTCGGAAAGAGGCGAAGACTTTCCTATCGACCAAAAACTTGATAGCCACCATTTTCTGGGATTAACAAGGGGTGATCTACATCAACTTGGAGCCGAATCGACACCGAATTGCAGAAAAATTATCATATTTGACGAAAAGAAAAGTGCTCTTCCACCATGACAACAGAACCGCCCATACCGTCGCCATGACGAAAATGGACAAATTGGGCTACTAACTGTTATTCCATCCACCATATTATCTAGATTTAACTCCGTGTGACTACTTTTTGTTTCCAAACTTGAAAAATGCACTCGCCAGGTAGAAATTTAAGTGGAAGCCTACTCTACAGACATCGAGAAAACGTATTTGTCAGACGGGTTAAAGAAGTTAGAGCATTGCTGGATCAAGTATATCAAACTAAAAGTAGACTATGTTACGAAATAAATCGCCACTTTTCCAAAATATTCGTTTTTCTTTTGTAGATTAAGTACTAATCGGACCGCCCTGGTTTGTTGGACTGCCGATTTCAAACTTTTGCCATACCTTTGAGTCAGCTAATTCGTATTTATTTGAAGACAGCTTACTAAAAATCTATACCTTAACGCGACGAGTAGTAAAAGATGGGTGAAAAATTAATTCCACCTTTTTCATTATCAAAAAGACTAAGACAAGCATTTGTATTGCTCGTACTTTATTTAAAGTATACAAGAAAGCAGTTTCGACAAATTGGAAAATAAAATGATGTGGGATAGAGTTATCATTATAAAACACAAAATTGTATACTATTGTAGAATAGTGGGCTGAATATGGCCTGGAAATTAGTGTATTGAAAACAGAGCATATTATAATGGTGATCGGTAACCCTAAAGAAACACTCGTGCTTAAAAATTGTGAGGATTTTAAACACTTAATAATGTGTTACATTATGTAATAATAATATTCTCTGATGTAGACGTTAATAAAAATATAACTCAATGCAACATATCTATAAGACAATTGAACTTCGTATTATGCTATAATAAAGTTACAAGTGACACTAAACGTCTAATTTATAAGGCAGTCTGAAGTCTTAATACAAAATAAGAGACAAAAAAATAAAAGGTATGGAGATGGTTAACTAAAAAAGGTGCCAAAAGAAATTTAAGCTCGTAAACATCAGAAATATGAATATCAGACAAAGGATCCAAAATACATGGTTATAACAGCAAATCTACTAAGACGTAATCTGAAGGGTCAAATAACAGAATAAGTAAAAAGGTTAAATATCTACATACCTTACTATTTAGCTACGAAAAACTCAAAATAAAAGTGAAAGATCAGATAAATATAGTAAACAGTGCCGCAGCATGTCTGAATAAAACAATATGGAGAAATAAACATATCGGGAAATAAATGTAAAAGTAGTTCTTTGAACTACTTTGAGAATGACATTCTATCTCCGGCTTCTATATAAAATGTAGCTTCTCCAATTTTTAAATTTTAAAATGTTTGTTTGTCTTTGTTTAGTGTATTTGTTATGTCCCAATTTACATTTATGACATTCTGTTACTGCTGGATAGGCCACAACTGACGAAATGCCCCTGAGGATGATTCGAACATTCAACCTTATATTGATTTTGAATTATGGTTATACAGAAGAATCCTGAAGATACCATGGACGGACAAAGTCACCAATGAAGAAGGACTGTAGAACACAACCGTGGATTTGGTCAACATTGTGAACAGCCGTAAGCTGGAGTGCTTGGGACATATAATGAGAAATCAAGGCAGATACGAGCTACTCCAATGCATTTTGTAGAATAAAATTGAAGGAAAACGAGCCCCAGGACGAAGAAGAATATCCTGGCTTGCTAACCTGAGAGCATGGTATAGAAAGACCTCAACACAGCTATTTCGTATAGCAACCAATAAAATCATCATAGCCAGAATGATCGCCAACGTTCGGAATAGACAGGCACCCTAAGAAGAAGAATACACTGACGTAACTACGCCATCCAATAACAAAAAGAGAAATTAAACTAACTCTGCTCTGACGAGATCCAAAGAGGTCGAAATACATATAAGCGGTTGCCGCCACTCTGTATTGCAACAAAAATCTAGTACCGTTTTTACATTTTATTTCTTTACTCCGTTTGGAGTACCAGAAATTAAATTCACTACGAATTTTGACCATGATAAACGACATGTGGAATGCAATCTTAGATTCTCTTGTCAAGTTAATTATCAAGCTGTTTGCTTTGCAAATTTTAGAAAGCACGGTGGTCAAAATTTGAATTCGATTTCGCCAGGTAGAAATCGTTTGATTTGTCTTTTTGTTTTCATTACATTTATCTTATTCTAAGGGCAGAAAAATTCCAAATGTAATAGCTAGAGCTTAATTTGTTATTAGACACCTAATAAATATATCTATTTGTATATTCGTTTAATATGCAACACAATTATTTATTTTCAGTTGGAAAATTCCGGTGATCCCTTAGACTTCAAAAACCACCAATCTTTGCCATATTGGAATTGTGTATATTTCCTGATCGTTACTATGTCAACGGTGGGATACGGTGATGTTTATTGTCACACGGTATTAGGAAGAGGATTTCTAGTTTTTTTTCTACTCGTCGGTTTGGTAAGTTGATATATTTTATTCTCTTATGTGTAGTCGTGGAATAGATGTAGTCTCTTTTTTTGACATTTCGGTACGCGATTATTTATAAAGTACTCGACGATTTTGCCGTTGGCTTGTACGAGGTATGCTCTATAAATTCTCCACTCACTATGGAATCTGTAATAAATAGACCTAAATTTATAATACTATTTAAATGCTCTTATCATTCTTAAACTCAACTTATTCATATAAATTATGTTAAAATTTGAAAGAAGTTCGAAGACAATTTTTATTATCGTGAGGTTTATTCCTGGTTTTTTCTTCATGATTTATATGGGAAGGTTATGACCCATTTTTGAGGACATTATATTTATCCAGAAATAGCTATAGCGCATTATAATGGTGAAAATTATTAAAATAAACTGTGTGCCTAAACATATTCTTAAAAGGAATGTCCACTTCAGAGTTATTTATTACTTACTCTTAATACCAAATTAATGTTTTTTACTTTTCTCTTAGTCACATTAAAAAAAATTTAAATGAATACATTCATTAAACAAAATTTAAAGCTTATTCCATTTTTATGTATAACAGCTTCTTTTATCATTTTTATTGCTCTGGATCCTGAATGTGGATGAGTTAATGGATTGTTTCTTTATAGTCGTTATGCTTATAAAAACCAAAATCTAAACAATAAATACATGGGCTTAAAAAATGATTTCATTGTAATTGTTTTATTTTTTTAAATTACTTACTTTGTAGAGCTGAAGCCTTACCTAGAATGTAGAATATCTGTTCCAATAAATAAATTCACCTGACTACTTAGTTAAGTAAGGTTCAATATATCTAAGTGGGCGTATCTCACTTGACCTAAGAGGTCTATTGTGGTACATTCATAAGATAAAGTTGTTCCTTCAGTTCAGACTTTTCAACAAAGTCTATTATGGAACTAGGTTAGAGTTTTACGAAGTCGTATATTTCGAATTGAAAATGCTTAAACACGAGGCATGTTTTTTAAGTAAGTACCGTTTTGCGATTCCGCCGCCTCAGCGCTACGGTCGGCGTTCCGCGCATGAGCGCTGGTTACCTACATCACTTGTCTACGCACTGACGCCATTACAGTCTGATTCTTCATTGTATACTTGTTTGCTCCAGTGTTTAAGATGCCTCCAACAATTGTTAGTCACGCTGATTGTGAAGTACGGGCTGTTATACGATTTCTTAGTGCTAAAGGCGTAAAACCGATAGATATTAATCTTGAGATCGTTGAAGTTTACGGACAAAACATTAGGAGTGATAGAATGGTGTGGAAATGGGTGAGTGCATTTAAAGATGGCCGCACAAATGTGCAAGATGAAGAACGGAGTTTGCGTCCTTCGGTCGTTAATAAAAATTTGGTGCAGAAAGTCGACGAAAAGGTGAGAGAAAACAGACGCTTTACAATTTCATCATTATCCGACTGCTTTTCTCAGTATTCTCGTAGTGTTTTGTATCGCATTGTTACCGAGAACTTGAATTACCGGAAATTGTGTTCACGTTGGGTTCCAAAAATGTTGACGAATTTGCACAAAACCCAACGTTTATGCAGTGCATTGACTTTCCTTGAACGGTACCACAGTGAAGATTTTTTAGACCAAATTGTTACTGGTGACGAAACGTGGGTGGCCTACGTCACACCAGAATCGAAACAACAATCCACGGAATGGCGTCATTCATCATCACCCAAAAGAGTGAAGTTTGAGCAAAGAATTTCTGCCCGGAAAATCATGTGCACAGTTTTTGGGACAGAAAACGAGTATTGCTAGTAGAGTTTCTGCCTCGTAATGAGACAATCAGTGCAGCGTCTTATTGTGGACAAGTCAGGCGGCAGAATTTTATCAGGAGGATATTGAAAAACTGGTGCCACGTTATGACAAGTGCCTCAATATTCACGGAAATTATGTAGAAAAGTAGATTAAGGTACAGGCTTTCATGTAAAAATAAAATTATTTCCATATCTTTGCACGTCTTTTTTTAATTCCAAAACGGTACTTACTTAAAAAACACGCCTCGCATATTGAGCCTTATGCTATCCAACCCTGGGCAATTACACAGATTGTGTTCCGTCATCTCGCAATTCGCATTTTCTTTTGGTCAGATTTTGTTCACATGCTTATTTAAGTCACAGTATCCTGTTAGGAGGCCTATGATAATTCGCAGATCATTCCTATTCAAATCTAGTCGATCTTTGGATCTCTTCTTCGAAGTTTTATTTATAAAAGCCTTCGAATGTTTTAGATCCATTTGTTCGTACCACTGGTTTCATTTCATACGTTACACTCAGGGTGATATTTTTTTAGCTGTGGTTCTTGCTATGTAAATGACACGTTCTGGGCCTATGAATATTTCTTTTTCCCCTACCGTACCAAGTAGGTCCGCTTTTTCGTTTTATTTAATACTAGTATATTCAGTTACCCAGAGTAAACCTACTATGTTACTTTTCCGATTCAATCCAAGTGCCTTTAATGTCTATTAGGTATTATTTTTATAGATCTTTCTTTGCATTTCTCCTATATTACTTCCTGCAGGCATATCTCCATAGAATGAATTTCAGTTTGAAAGATACTAGAGTGATTACCTAGGCTTTTACGCAGGCTTAGCTCTGGTTTTCCTCCGTACACACCAGCTTCTATTCCTTCATGGTTTTAAAGCCGTTATCATTGATCTACCATTAGGAGATTTGTTTAATTTAACTCCCAGTTGCCCGTTCATGGAAAAAGGACGGTAACCGGCTTTTTGAAATTATATCTAGATTACACTGTATCGGGTACTATTTCCAACTATAGGTGATTTTTAATTATGTCTCCAGATTTGATCCCGATATGCTTTTGCCCTGCTTCCTGGCATCTTATTAGCCTTATGTATGCTCTTTTTTCAACCTGATTATATATTAAAATATTAATTAAATTCGTTTAAATAATAAAACTCAAATAAACAAAATCAAAAACAAAAATTAATAAAAAATTCAACAATGTAAGTTTAGGAATATACAAGATAGTCGTAATGAACTGCAGAAGTTCTGAAAGTAACAACATATCGAAGACATCGACTTGGATACATTTTTGGTGATCTTAATCTTAAAGGTTCGAATATCAAATTTCAACAAAGAAAAAAAGGTATCTACAAAAAAATGAAATATACAAATGCTAAAAGATCCTAAGATTAGAAAACAGTTGCCGAACAATACTAGAAAAATATTAGTAATAACTTTTTTTCAAGTACGATATTCTTTTATAACGTTGTTTATGATCATAGCTACATTAATTTTATTCACTGCCACCCTAAATAGCACGCTTGTGTCAATACCATACGACCAATGCGACAATTGTTGCCAAATGCGACAATTATAGAACTATCTCTCTTATATCCCATGCCAGCAAGATAATGCTACATATAATCAATGAGAGACTGAATACATTCCTTCAAAGAGAAATTCCATAAGAGCAAACTGGATTTACCAAAGGTAGAGGCACTCGAGAACACCTGCTGAATATAAGACAGATAATCGAGAAATCTAGGGAATTCAACATCCCACTATACATCTGTTTTATAGATTACCGTAAAGCGTTCGACAGGGTCAAGTGGAGACACTTAGGGCGAATACTAAAACAAGTAGGAGTACCTTCTTCTTCGGGTTCCTTCTCCTAGCGGAGGTTGGAAATCATCATCCCTATTTTAACTTTGTTGGCCGCATTTCTGAATAATTCTAATGAGCTGCAGCCGAACCACTCTCTCAAATTTCTTAGCCAGGACATTTTGCGTCGTCCTGGATTTCTCTTCCCTTGTATCTTCCCTTGCATAATCAACCTCAGTAATACGTACTTCTCACCCCTCATTAAATGTCCCAGATATTGAATCTTTCTAATTTTAACAGTTTTTATGACTTCACATTCTTTCTTCATTCTTTGTAACACCTCTATATTAGTTACTTTTTCAATCCACGATATTTTATGCATTCTCCTGTAGCACCACATCTCAAAGGAGTTTAATTTTTTGATTTCAGACTGCTTTATTGTCCACGCTTCCATGCCATATAGTAAAGTAGAGAAGACGTAACAACGTAGCATTCTTGTGCGAATCTCTAGATTGAGGTTACGGTTGCAAAGTAATTTCTTCAATTTTATGAACGTGTTTCTTGCCATTTCTATTCTAGATCTGATCTCTTTTACTTGATCTCCATCTTCGGTTAGCCACGTTCCTAAATATTTATATGTTTTTACTCTTTCTATCGTTGTATTATTGATGATCAGGTTATTTACATTTTGTGGTTTTTTTGAGAATATCATTGATTTCGTTTTCTTGAGATTCATTTGCAGTCCGTAACTTTCACATGCATTGTATACATGTTGTATTATGTACTGTAGATCTTCCATGTCACTTGCAAATATGACAGTATCGTCGGCATTTCTAATATTATTAATGTTATTTCCGTTGACATAAATACCTTCCACGATATCCAATAAAGCCTCTTGAAAAATCACTTCACTGTAGACGTTGAATAAGAGTGGTAAAAGGATACACCCTTGTCGAACTCCTCTAAGTATACTTACTTCCTCTGTCAGTTCTCCTTCGACTCTTACTCTTGCTTTCTGGTTTTGATACAGATTCGATATAATTTGTAGATCTCTACTATCAATGTTTTTAGTCTTAAGAATACTTAAAAGCTTCTCATGTTGAACTCTATCAAAAGCTTTCTTGAAATCTATAAAGCAAGCATATATGTCCTGATTCATATCCAGGCATCGTTGTGTCAGAACATGGACTCCAAATACTGCTTCTCTAGTTCCTAGACCCTTTCTGAAACCCATCTGTGAATCACTTATTTCTTGTTCTAATTTCATGTGCATTCTGTTATGTATAATTTTAAGGAAGGTTTTCAATGTGTGGCTCATTAACGCAATTGTTGGATAGTCATTGCAATCTTTAGCATTTGTGATTTTTGGAATCGTCACAAAAGTTGAGAGAAGCCACTCTTTGGGTATGTGTCCCGT